GATAATTGCAAAAAAAGATAAACTTTATATACACTAACAACAAAATTATGATAATAAAAACAATCCACAAAGTGGATGATGTTGATAAGAATATAAATCAGAGAGCACCTGAAACTAGAAAACAGGTTCACTAAAATGAAAAGCAAAGGGCACAAATATTGAAAGGTCACAATGTGTTTTAAGAATTTAATAACAAAGGTATTTTAAATTTGTTTTATACGCAATACATATGACATTCCTCACCTTTCATGTTCTTACTTTGAACTTTTGGTAAATCATCAAATTCCTCACCCATTTATTGTTGTGTTGGTGGTTTTAATGAAGTTTCGAGACTTTTTGATTTGAGAAAGTTTCAATCATAGGCCATCAACAAGTTGATCCTCACCATTTATTGTTGTGTGTACCATATACAACACGTTGATCCCATATACATAGATTTATAAAACAAAAGTGCACAACACTTTTAACTTTATTTTAGCCCTTGATGTATTTGTGTTTGATTGCTTAGTTGAGTGGGTTCTTTAAAAAAATATGGCTAAAGAGCCTACATAAAACTTTTAAAAAAGTTTAAAGCATAACCTTAATAATATATATTTTTATGCATCTGTTGCAACATCTTCTAAATGTTAAAAGTGGACAGAAATGTATTCACAAAATGGTTACATTATAAGAAAAAACGAGTTGAAAAATATATGAGAGAAGAAAATGCGGTTGAGACATTGCAAGTTATAACCTCTCAATCTCAACCGTATAAGACCCTTTGAAAATTATCGGTTAAACCTCAGACATCTCCTCGTCTTCTACACTACACATGTTTATCTCTAAATTGTTGGATATGCTCCGAACTGTTTTCAACTTGGTGCCCAAGAAATTGACAGCTATACTAGTTGAGTTGTTTTTTTGTTACATTTCCCATCAAATAAAAGAGTTAGATTAGGACTCGTTTAGTTAGTCTTATATATAGGATATCAGATCATTTTCATTTTTCTGAATAATCCTTTTTCATTCCCATTTTACACAAAACACAAGCCATTGTAATCCTTCAAACATTTAAGAATTATATAGTGTTCTTCCAAAGTGGTTTTTTTCCCGATTTTGGGTTTTCCACTATAATCCGGTGTTCAATTCCGTTATCATTTATGTTTTGTTTATAACATGAATCTGGATTTTCATTTTCCTGCCTTCATTGTAGGTTATTGGTTAGGCGTCTCTCATTCTCATACGAGCATACCGATACTATATTTTATATATTAATTATCAAATATATATCTCAATCAATCATAACTATTAGATATTTTGATTCCAAGGCTCAAATTTGATGTTTCTCACTTTATTTAGTTTTCTTACTTGAACAATTATATATATATATATATATATATATATATATATATATATATATATAGGGAAAAGGGAATATACATTACAGCTCCACCTAAGCCTAGGTACTAAACTTCTTGAAAATACATTGTTTTACTATATAAAGATTACGGTTAATGGATTCACGATTAATACTTCAAGATGTAAATTCAAGATCGACACAATAGGGTTTAGGGTTTAGGGTTTAGGGTTTAGATTTAGGGTTTAGGGTTTAGGTTTAGGTTTAGGGTTTAGGGTTTAGGGTTTAGGGTTTAGATTTAGGGTTTAGTGTTTAGGTTTAGGGTTTAGGGTTTAGGGTTTAGATTTAAGGTTTAGGGTTTAGATTTAGGGTTTAGGGTTTAGGGAAAAGGGTTTATGGTTTAAATTTAGGGTTTAGGGTTTAGGTTTAGGGTTTAGTAATGTTCCCTTGGGTGAAGTAATAAACGATAATTGAGGAAAGAAAACAGAGATGGTAAAACGATAATGAAAGAAATGTTTAAGAGGATGAGGAGCTATATTTACCAAGTGAAACCAAATCGGGTATATTTAGCATGTTAAAACGACTATTTTAGAAGTTTAGTACCTAAGCTTAGGTGGGGCTGTAATGTATATTCCCTCTCCCTATCTATATATATATATATAATATATATATATAGGGGGGGGGGGGGGGGGGGGGGGGATTGTAAGAGTGCGCCCAGTAACGCCGGCGGGATCATGTTTTATCTCCCATGAACGAGAAAAGGAGCCAACAAGACAATATACTAAACAACATAAAGGAAGAAAAGAAAAGCTTAGTATATATACATTATTTGTTGATTTAATAATGTATTATATTTTTTAGTCAATTTAACTGATGTCTAATATTTTGTTTTTAGTGAATGGTTTTGATAAAAACTCTAACTAAAATATCTGATGCGACCATCATAATAGTATATTCTAAGAAAAACAGACAAAAAAAAAAAAGACTGTGGAATTTGATCGTATAAACAACGAGTTTAAATCATATCATAATATTTGATGGCATTCTACAAAGGTTTCTAATCAATTTTAAACTGAATACAGTTTATTGTAATCATTTTAAAAATGCAGAAAAAACACTTCTCCAATATGATTGGAACGACAATCAATTTCAATCTCTGTTTTATTTATATATGCACGCATCAAGAGATACATAAACTACCGTCTATGCATTTCTTCTTGCACCTGATGTCACATGTATATTTATAAGTTAATTATACAATACTTGTATGGTTCGGCTTAATTTGAAAACACTGTTTGTTATACACCAGTATCACAATTCACAAATAATTATAATGATCACATAGAAGATGAATACGTAAGCTCAAAAGTTTGTTTAAAATGAAAGCAAAACGTTTAACATCTCATAAATAAAATAATTGTTGTTCTCGTGCTATAAAACAAGCACCCGAAAGAAAGAGTTTGGCGGTTTTCCCTGTCTTATTAGAATTTGGTGTGATTTTTATTTAAGATATTCCATTACATTTCTGTAAATTGTTTTGATTGTTTGTAATTAAGTTAATATTACTTATTGTTTAAATGTCATACTCACACATAGATTGAATATATTTAGGTTTTAAAGGAGACTTTTTGATGGTGTTAGATTAACAAACAATATTGGATGGAAACCAAGATTCTGAAGCTACATTCTTTAAATTAACCTACTTAATAAATTATTTGTAAAATTCAACCTTTAAAAACTATATATTGCCGTTCATAAAAATCTGACAAATTCAAGCGTTTACTTTGAAGTCATATAGATTCACATAGAATTTAACGTGACCTTTATACATACACCCAAAACAAGAATCTTTATCAAAACATGTGTACTAAAATTCCGTCTAATTCATCTTCTCAATATTCACCAAGAATTTATCATTATGATCTACTAATTATACAATTAGCATTAGGGTTAGTCTGACCATTCTAGTTAAACCGCCACAACTTGGGTTGTGGTTAATTAACCAGCATTAGGGTTAATATATGACTAACCCTAATACATAACACTAATCTAAACTGCCACAACTTTGGTTAACTTGCGTCTTCAAGAATCCCATCAATCTTTGGACTAGGGTTGTCTACACGTGGTTGTTTCAATTCGACCATCTTAAATGCCAAAGAAAGTTTTAAAGGGTAACAACACTATAATCATGTGGACAATATTAAAAAGTTAGATAGAATTATTATAAGAGCCCAATTTGGCAATGGTATTATAACCACATTAATTCCCATTCACTTGTCACCACACAAATTTAGGGTTTGAAGTGAGTTGGAAAAAATGGAATAAATGAAGTCCATTGCATGGCGCTACCTGCAAGTGATGGACGTGTCATGCACCTTTCATCCAAATCTAAAAATATCGTATAATGCATTTATACATTCCCTTCTGCATACGGCGGTTTTGCACAATTCCCTCTTGATTCTTCAACTCATTCTGCAACCGCTAATTTTATTTGTGGACCATATTACTTTGGTCTGTTAGATTTTTAGTTCTCGTACGAGTTTTCTAGCGTGTCAAATTTATCATCGTTTTGGTACACACCAAGTATTATTTACTATTTACTCACACGAGTTATATATGAGTCCAAATATGTTCTTTCAATATGACAATAATGAAATGATCTTTGATGTTTACCAAGATAACGATATCAATAATTTGTTAACAATAATATCTGTATGAATCTAGAGATGTATAGAATGAACTAAGATTATTAAAGATATTTTCTAATATCCTGGTCTATTTTTAATCCATTCAACCTCTTCAGTTTGAAAGAGTTTGAAACTGCCATTTGTTATTCAAACAAAATATAATTTGCAAAATAAAGAAATAAGATTATTAGACAGATTTCGAATGATCAACCTTCCATATGGAGTGACATAAAAACACGTAGAAGAGAGGCTATTATAAGTAGATTTTTCCTGAAAATTCTAGTATCGTGTATATGATATATTAATATTCTATTTATTTACTCAATACTCATATATTGGAGTTGTGACGTGACCCAAAGTTAATAATTAACGTGAAACACTTATTTCAATAATTTGCCCGTTGATGTACGCAAATTAGTAAATACAGAAAAAGATATTTAACAAGAAAATCTGTTTCTAAATTAACTTTACTATTTTAATATACATATAAAGAGAAATAAAACCACAGATCTCTTGTATTTGACGTTCTCAGTATACGAGAAAGAATATCAAGTAAAAATAAAAGTGCAGTCTTTTGACCAATTACTCACATCACATGTCAACTTAATTTCTTCATTCTTTTCTGACTTTTTAAGTCGAACCCTTTTCCATTTAACCTTAATTTTCACGATAAAAGTATTTAGCGTAAATTACAAAACTCTTCCTTTGTAATATACTGAAATTTATCTATATCGCCCTTAAAACTGCTTTCTTATCATTTTCGTCCTTCAACCTGACTTATTTTTACAATTCACTATAAAAAATTAACCACAAAATAAACTTGTCCAAATTCGTAAAACCAGATTCTTCTAGAGAATACATTCATAAATTGAATGTACTACATCCACGATTTTTTGTAATTTATTCAAACATTAAAAAATATATATAACTCTAAATATAATATCCATGTATATATTGGTGTACTGTATGCTATCTCTGTCGACTACAACTTCTTTATAAATGAAAGTGTCCCACGTAGGACCCCCGCATAGTAATGACCTCCCCCAACACTACACTTTTCAGCCCCTACAAAACCACCGTGCATGAAAAACTAAACACCTAAAAAAATCAAACACATTTTTCGATCATTCTATCAAACTCCATAGTAATCAAAGTTGAGAGGACACCAAATTTACACACATTTTGGATCAATCGCAACCAGAAAATGGGAGTCAAAATGGTGGTGGCGCCGCCCCATGCAGGGGCTATATGGCGGGAAAGACTAGCTTCCGCCTTGAGAACCGCCATAGCATGCACTATAATCGGCTGCACCGCCCTATATGGTCCACAACACATCCGCAACCAAATCCAATACCCATCCGTAGCCTATGTAACCGCCATCTTAATAGTTTCAGACGCCACACTCGGCACCACATTAAGAGGCGCTTTTTTTGCATTCTGTGCAACCGCCCTTGTCCTCCCCTCATCCATCCTTTGTCTCTGGGCAGTGGGCCCCTCACGGTTCACCGAGAGTGGTGCCGCCGCTGCGGTGGCTCTGAGCGCCTTTCTGGTGGCGGTGCCGGAGTTTCTACCGCTTCTAGCCAAGCGCATTGCCTTTGTACAGCTGGTGATTATATATGTTGGCGCGGTGGTTCGTGGTGGCACCGCCGATGCGGTGACTCACCCGGTTCATGTTGCGGCGTGCACCGCCCTTGGGGCGTCGGCTTCTGTCCTGGCTTTGATACTGCCGTACCCTAGACTGGCTGTTACTGAGGTATGCTTAGATACCTGATACCTCCCTTTTTGTCTTTTCATATAATTATTTTACTAAAAAAAGACATGTTAATTGATTTTATACTTTTGTTGTTTTGTATAGGTGAAGAAGCAATTTCAGTTGTATACAGAAAATGCGTCAGAAAGAAGTGGACTTTATATGAAAGCTTTCTTAAGTGAAGACAAAACGACAGCGTGTGATCTCATTTCACAAGGTGAACCCATGGTGGAGTCGGGAACGAAGCTCATTAACCACATCAACCACATCCAGGAAGGTGTGAAGTGGGAGAGGTATCGTATGCGGGATTTCAAGCGAAGTTTCGTGAAGATGGAAGACCGATTAGACGACATCGAAACACCGATAAAAGGAATGGAATTGGCGCTCGATTCCATTCCGTCTTTTCCTATTGGAATTGTGAATCCGGAGTTAAGATCCGTGTTGCAAAGCGATCGCGTGCACCAGACGTTAAAGCTCGACCATGCCAAATGTTTTGTCCCGTTCGATGAAGCGGTCACGGTTCCCGAACGGAAAGACGAACTCTTTGATAAATCACTACACACACTCACAAATTCCCCCCCAACGCACCGGAATCTACCGGCTTTTTTCTTTTTATCGTGCTTCGAATTACTCGTAAACAACTCAAGCATGAACCCGAAACCGGAATCGGAAACGAAAGCGGAATCGGAATCGGAATCAGTCAACAGCCAAGCGATTGATGTTAGCCAAGAGTCAAGAATTACGGGACCATATAGCCAACAAAGGATTGTGTTTGGTTTAAAGTGCTCGATTTCATTAGGGCTTGCAGTGCTTTTGGGTATGTTTTTTGACAAAAAGAACGGGTATTGGTCTGGGCTAACAATCGCTATTAGTTTTGTGGAAGGAAGACAACCGATTTTTACAGTTGCAAATGCTCGAGTACAAGGAACAGCAATCGGGACAGTTTACGGGGTGCTCGGGAGTTGCCTTTTGTATCAAGTTGCTGAAATAAGATTCATAATTCTTCTACCATGGATTGTTCTCACAAGCTTGTTACAACATAGCCGGATGTTTGGAGAAAGTGGCGGCATCTCGGCGGTGATCGGAGCTCTTCTCATTCTTGGCCGGAAGAACTACGGACCAGTGAAGGAATTCGCAATTGCGAGGTTAACGGAGGTTTCAATCGGGCTTTTTTGCATGGTGGTGTTGGAAATTGTTCTTGAACCGGTCAGAGCTACAACTCTGGTGAAACGCCACGTGTCAAAATGTTTGGGGATAGTAGACGATTGCTTTAACAAAATATCAAGTTTGAATTTAGTTTTAGTTAAAGTAAATATCAAACGGTTAAAATCCGATATAAACTTGTTGAAGAACTTGATCAGAGACGCAAAAATGGAGCCGAGTTTCTGGTTTCAATCATTCCGGGGGAATTGCTATGATCGCATGCAAAAGAGCTTATCTACAATAGTTGATTTAATGCAGATTATGATCTATAACTTGGAGTTTATCGATTCCGATGAAGGTCGGAAAGAGCTTCAAGAACATGTCAATCGGAATCTAGAGATGTTGAAGGGGAACGGAATCAAGCATCTACAAAACATCATGTCCGTGAAGTCTATCAAAAACTTCGAGCACCAGTTACAAGATCGGGAAGGATTTTTGGACCTGGAATCAGCAAGACCAATTCCGGTGTCAACGGAATCAACGACTAAAGACATTGATGCTTTCCTTCAACACACAAAAGAGGTGACAGAAAAAATTCAAGCAACCGAAGAATGGAAAGAGAAAACAATTCTTCACTTTAACTCCTTGTCGTTTTGCATCTACAGACTTATGGAGGAAATAAAAGAAGTTGAAAAATGCATTAAAGAAATCATCAGATGGGAGAATCCAACAAGACAAATAGATTTTAACCAACTATGCTACATGGTTGACAAGTAAATTTTAACGATTTTAGGGAGATATAAACATATATAGAAAGATTGAGAAATTAGTTGATATGTAGATAAAATATATGTATGCAAAGATTATGATATCTTTAATTAGCAGAATAAACTACTCTTCATTCTTCAATATAATCATTTCAAGACACTTAAAACTTTGCTCCTAGCAAGATTCTTTAACATTGAAATGTAAAGGAAAGAACAGGGGGAATGGGAACAGAAATTGGAATAAGAAATAGGGTCGGAATCGGAATGGACTATGGCTATCGACCTCATTCATCTTCCTGGCTGCGAAGCCTGGCTAACTTGTTGGTAACAACCACATCCAACTGAGCTGCACGTTCAACAATCTCCTTCCTTTTACGGGTGGATACATTGTGTGCAATTTCAGCACAGTATGTTCTGAAAATGGTAAAAAAAAAAAAAAAAGAGTTGAAATTGTTAATAGAATTGAAGAAAAGTATGTGATAATATAAATTATATGTGAATATATACATAAAAGTAGGATATATATACCTATTGTGCATCATGAGGACTTCAAGTTCTTTAGCATTGTGGACAACAAACTTCTTGAAACCATTGGGAAGGAAGTGGCGAGTTTTTTTGTCTGAACCATAACCAATGTTGGGCATAAGAGTGACACCTTTAAACTTACGCCTTACACGGGAATCAATACCCTTTGGTCTACGCCAGTTTTCCTGTTATATAAAAACACATAATGTCAGACTAATTCCAGTCTTTGACATGTCTTTGTGCTATTAAAAAAAGTAGAAAAATGTACCTTGACACATATTTTCCAGTCACTATGGGGCCTTTTGAACTTCTTGACCCTCTTCTTAACGATCTTCTTATCAAGTTTAGGGACTGCCATTGATAACTATAAAAGAAACCAAAAATATTTATTAACTACTAACAAAGATAAGATAGTCAACAGTAGAACAAATAGATGAGTTGGTAGTTTCAAGAAGAAAGCTTTCTTAAATATATTAGTTTGTGATGTATGATCTTAGCTATTTGAGGTATCATGCATACTGAGATCCTAACAAAAGAATAACAATTTGGTTACAATGAGGATGCTTGCTTTAAAATCTAACTAACATGTAAACAATGCCTGTAATGACTCCGTATATTTGATTACTTAGCTTCAACCAGCTTACAATCTATGAGACCAGAAACAAAGAAACAAAAATGTCCTAGTTCCCCTAATGACTTTGCGTTTACATTCGTGTGTATATAACAATGCTGATTTTAAGGATAGCGAAAATAATCAACAAACAAGCAAGAAGAACTAACATCAGACACAAAACTGACGAATAAGAGAAACCAAATGTAGAGAGAGAACACATAAACAGATTTCATTACTACAACATGGTCAAATCATTATTTTTCAAAGAAGAATACAACAATTTGAAAGAAAAGTATTCATAATTATTTCTCGTGATCAATTGAAAAACAAGATGGAGCTCAACGTGGTCAGAACAGGCACAGAGACCTATAACTAGCATTCGGAATGATTAAAGGCGCTAAAACACAACAGAAATGTTCTTCAAATTAAAAACCTAAAGATGTACAAACCATAAAATACATCTATGCATTATGTTTTTACGTGTGAGAGTGAAAAGCAGAGGGAATCGAAAGCTTCAAACCTGAAAAGTGAGACGCGAAGAGACTGCGTGACAAACCTCCCTTCAACAGAGAGACCTGTTTAGACTTTAGAGCGAGGAACTATTAGGGTTTCATATAAACGATTCAAAGGGAGTAAGGCCTAAGGGGGTATTGACAATTGGGCCAATATTTCTTTAGGCTGGGCTTTTAAAAAGACCAACTAAGGTCTACGTTTTCTATTTTGTTTTTATAATTTATGTACTCTAAAGTCTAAAGCACGGATATAATTGGTAGGATATGAGTCACTTTTTTTTTAAATCATACCAATTATAATTCGTATAAATATTTTGATACCATTACCATGCGGAGTTTAATTGATAGCAACTTGTTTGGCTAATAATAAGTTTCATTGAGACATCTTGATAATGGTATATATAGAGGCGGACGCAAGATTTCACAGTAGGGGTGCACGGGAAAGTCAGGGTTGCAGGATAGTAAAAAAATAAAAAAATTTAAAAAATTTCCACTGCAGCCAGAAAAGTTAGGGGTTGTCGGTGCCACCGGTGACCCACCCTAAATCCGCCCCTGGGTATATACTAACATGTATGAAAACTTTGGAAAGTAAGATTTGTGTTTTTGAGTATTGTGAAAGGTGAATGAAAGGTTTTGTGAATAAGAGTTTTGTAATTATTGGGATTGAAACTTCGATAAAAGAGATTTATTAATTTCTATAATGAGTTTAAAAGTTAAAACAATAGACAAAAATAGGACACGCCAACATGAGTTTAAACTTCAAACATTATTAATACGGTAAATAATATTCTATTATGAGTTTATATATACAAACTCTTGTTTTATTGTTATTCTGCTATGAATTTTTATATATGTCTTACTGTAAATGTTTTTTTGTGTACCTACGGCGTAAAAGAACTCAACAAAAGAAACATAGTCCGGGACAAGAAGAAACATACTAAACACCAAGATCAACGGGACAGAAGAAATTGGTTGAATACATAGAAATTATATCAATTTATCGTCTTATATGCTATTTTTTTTTGTATAAATTCATTGTTCTATATACGATATTAGTTCGTTATGACTTATATATATATATATATATATATATATATATATATATATATATATATATATATATATATATATATATATATATATATATCATAATTGAATAAAGAATGCTATATATTATAAATCTGGATGAATTTATATGTTTATATGTAGGGGTGTCAATTTATGACACGACACGACAAAAATACACCACACGAAACGAAATTGGTACGAAATCAAAATTCATATTCGTTTTCGTGTCGTGTTCGTGTTAAGTATAAAAAACACGATGTCGTGTCGTGTCGTGTTCGTGTTTACAAATCCACACGAAATTGACACGATTGAGCATGTGTTTGTCGTGTTTTTCGTGTTTGTCGTTTTTATCGTGTTATATATGATTAAATATGAATTAAATAAAATAATATTTATGTAATATTATCTTTGTAGTTTCGTGTCGTGTTGTCGTTTTTTAATTGGTTCGTTTTCGTGTTAGTGAAAAAAAACACGACATCGTGTCGTGTCGTGTTCGTGTTACAAAAAATCTTGTCGTGTCGTGTCGTGTCAGACAAAAACACGACACGACGGCCCGATTTGAGAGACCTATTTATATGTTCTGTTATGAATTTGGATTGTATCAATGTATATGTATTTTATTATGAATATGTATTGTTAATTGGTATTTACCTAAAAATTGGTATTTACCTAAAATATTATATATTTTACAATGAACACAAGATTTAAAATTTTAGTAATTTAAAACTTTGAAATTTAAAAAATCTGAAATTTTAAATTTCGTAATTTTAAGAATCCCACGAATTTCTCTTGTTTCCATAGTTATCTTAAAATACAATTACCATTTTACCCCTACATATTTATTGATATATTTTTAAATAATATTTTTATTAATAACCAAAAATAACTTAATTAAAGAAAATGATTGGTTGAAAATAGCAACGAAAGTAATTAGTTCTCAATTCCTTCATATAAATACTATTATATATATATATATATATATATATATATATATATATATATATATGACAAAATTGCAAAAATGGTCCCTGTGTTTGGCAAAATTATGCGACTTTGGTCCAAAACGATACTTTGATGCACCACTGGTCCAAAATTGGATTTTTCCATTGTTTTTGGTCCCTCCCACTAACTTCCGTCCATATGCTCCGTTACCTGCAATATAGACGGGGGTATTTTCGTCTTTCCACTTACAGGGACCTTTTTTGCAACCTTATTCAAAATAAAAGCAGAGCTACATCACTCTTCCATCTTCAACTTCACGAGCTTCATACTCTTCCTACTCTGTGTTCACAATTTCTTAGAGATCAAAAATAAAAATGGTGATGTGTTTCTGTGGTAGGGACGCGGTGGTTCGCACCTCCTGGACATCAGCAAACCCTGGTCGGAGGTTTCTTTCCTGCCCTCAAAAGGTAAGTGTTCGATTTTGCTATTTTACCCTCATTTTGGAAAATCACCCTCATGTTTAGGGTTTATTTTTTTACGTGAAGGGTTCCAGATGCAGATTCTTAGGATGGATTGATCCTCCAATGTGTGCAAGATCTATGTTGATAATACCCAGATTATTGAGGAATATCAACAATGCAAACTATCAAGTGGCAAGATTGAAGATGTGTTTGTTTTCAAGTTGGTTACTATTTGTGGTAGTTTGGGTGCTTTTCATTTAGTAATAAGGAATTAGGGACCCCTGTAGTTGCATGTAATTTTGGGTGTTTTTTGTCTTATGAAACTGTAACAAGGGAATGTGGTAGTTTTTGGTATTTGATAATGTAATATCAATTTAGGGTTATTTTGGACAACTTCAGAAATTTTGTACCCTTTTCAAGGATGTAATGACAATGTATTGCAGTTATCACCTAATGTTAATGTTTATTTGTTGTTTCAGAAAAAAGTTGTTATAAGCATAAATGTGTTCCATAAACATGACAACAAAGTTGGTATAAACCATAAACATCATTCTTCAACAATGACAAAAGGTTGACATTAGTTTCATGACCAAAAGGGCTAAAAGACCAAAATAAAACCATTACAACAAACTACTTTTAAACCATTACATCCAAATGCACAAAAGTGGTGCTAAACCAAAAGATAAGTTTTTAAACAAAATACACTAATTCCTGCATTGACTGCTACCTCCATTCCCTCCTTGACTGCATCATGCATTCCCTCCTTGACTGCTTCATACATTCCCTCCTTCATTGCTTCCTGCATTCCCACCTTGACCCTTGCATGTCCTCGAGTTATGACCCCTATTGTTGCATTTCCCACACCTGACACTAACAAACTTTCTGGTAAGTTTTTCAGGTTCACCTGCACCATGATTTTGCATCTGTTTATCATATTTTTCATCTGCACTTCTCTTTCTCTTGGTCTTAGGTCTCCTAGGTTGATTGTGATGTGGTGGTGGTGTTAATTGAAATGGACAGGTACTTTTTGGCCACATGGCTCTACCCTTTATAGGGTCCACACTGTAAGAGTAAGCTTCATTCCATGTTTGAAGCCAATACACTTTGTTGACATAAGTGTAAAGCCCCAACTTTGTCTCCACTATCAGCCATTTCATGTATTGTAGCTATGGCATGTCTGCATGGAATCCCATTCAATTCCCACCTTCTACATGTACATGACATATTTGTCATGTCAACCACATGCTGGTCATGCCAAGGACCATAAACTTCATACTTTGCAGTCCCATTCCATCTAGCTCTATATTGGACTAAAGCTTCCCTATTTCTCTCAAGTAACTTTAATGTTGTTGGAGTGAGTGGACCTGGAGCTTTGGACATCACTTTCTTCACATTGCAGATCCTCTTCATAAGGTACTGCCTGATGTACTCAAGACAACTTATGATGGGCTTATTCCTACCATGAATAAGCTTACTGTTGAAAACCTCACACAAATAGTTGAGCAATATATCTGATCCTGCTCTGTCTGTATTAAACAAGAAAATTATATGAACTAAATCATATACAATGAGCACTAGTAAAGCTTCACCTAAGGTAGGGAATATAACCTGAAAAGTGGCTTCTGGCCCAATGGTGAGGGGGGATTTTCTTCAACCACTCAAAAGCATCCTTATCAAACTTGTTAAGTTCATTCATGTAGTGTTCAAATTCTGGTAATGTGGTTGCTATTGCACACTGCCATAAGTGATCTTTATACTCTTTTGTTTTCCATTTTTTCCTCATGTTCTCATAAATATGTCTTAGACAGAATCGATGCTCAGTCTGTGGGTATAGTTGTGCAATAGCATGTAAGAGTCCCTGTATAGTTGTACAAATAAACTATTAGTAATACAAAAAGAAGAAAATAGTACCTTTTGTCTATCACTCATGAAAGTAAAGTTAGAATTTGAGTACAACTCTAAGTCATCTCCCAAGCATTCTAGAAACCATTTCCAGCTACTCATATTTTCAGTCTCAACAATGGCATATGCAAGTGGGTATATGCCATTGTTTGAATCCAATCCAACTGCTGTGAGTACTTGGCCTGGAAATGGTCCTTTCATAAAAGCACCATCTAGTCCCACAATATCTCTTAAGCCTGCTTTAAACCCTTTCTTTAATGCCCCTAAGCAAATATACACCCTTTTAAACTGCCTTGTTTCTCTAGCACTGTTAGGCTCATTAACAACCTCAAGCTTCACAGTTGTACCCACATTAGTTGCTTGTAGTTCCATAAGATAATCTCTTAACACCTCGTATTGCTTTGTGTAGTCACCACTCACTTGCTTTGTAGTTGTTGCTTTTGCCCTCTGTACTTTGTGTATGGACACACCAACTTGAAGCCTCTTCTGAACTTGGTCTTGAATGCTTCGAAGGGGTACTTTAGGGTTAGACTCGACCATGTCTAAGATTTCTGCAGATATATACTTCGCAGTGCAAGCCCTAAGTTTTCTAGTTTGAACACAAGTATGTTTGTCCAGTAAAGTTTTCACATACCAATAATCACTATCTTTTGACCTTGAAGTCTGCATTGACCAAGAACAATTTAATTTATTGCCCTTACCTACCCCACTTGCATTTACACTAGGTACATTACCTTTACACACAACCCTAAGCCTTGTTTTGTCGTTTTTCTTGAAGCCAAGATTCCTTCTAGTCTCAATGGCAAGTTTGTTGACTTTGTCCTTAATTTCCTTTTTACTTTTATACTTTTGACCCACTTGAAAAGTAACTGCATGGACTTCACCAAGAGAGCACTTCTTCTCCTTCACCATCTGTTTTAATACTGTTTTCCTTCTTTCATCATCAGTATCTTCACCTAATGAGTCTCATTCATCATTATCAATTACTTCAACATCTTCAACATCTTCTGTATCAACAACTTCATTTTCAGTCTCAACACCCTTTCCTCTGTCAACATATTCAACATCTAGATCAACATTCATATAGAAATCACTCATGTCCACCTCAATATCACTTACATAGTTTTCTTCATCTTCAAGAAAGTCATTGTCTTCCTCACTCCCTTCACTACCCCCTTCACCAAGTCCTTCACAAACTCCCTCACTTTCAAATTGAACTTCACCTAGTCCCGTGCCAAGTTCTGCATCAACTCCCATACTCTGATCATTACCATCATTAAAAGTATATTGATCAAAGAAAGGATCAAAGTCTTCAAATTGAAATGGTTGGTCATCAAAGGTATCAAACTCTCTTGTATTTACTTCTTGGTCACCAAGATTTGCACCTTGATCATGAACTTTTGTATCTTGATCACCAACAGGTGCACCTTGATCACTAATATTTGCACCTTCATTACCAATTTCAACATGTGTATCTTGGTCACCAACAGTTGCAGTGTGTTCCAAGTTGAAACACAATTTCTTACTACATGATTGACTCCCTTCAACTAACCTCAATCTCCTATTTGAATTGTATTCGGGTGTCTCATATCTTACCAAACACAATTCAAGATTTGGGACATCTTTCTGGTTTTGGTTTACTGGATGCAAATCAACCACTGCTGAATTTGATTTTGGTATGGGCACATCATCTGCTATTTCCTCAATTATGACCCTAGGTTTAACTCTTGGAGACATAAAGTATGTAAGTAACTTAGTTTCATTATGTTCAGTGTATACCTTGATGATCTTATGATGCTTAATGTACTGTGCAAGACTAAGTACATCAACATCATTCCCTAGAGCTCTAAGACCAAACTCCAAATCTCCATTTGGCAATTGATAGTTGTAGTAAATGACTGGTGGTACCTCATAACCAAGCTTCAGCATCACCTCGTCCAACTCATGCACAGAGAACTCATCCATGTCTACCAAGTCAACGTGGTCTAATTTTCCTTCAATGTAGCTTATCCCTGGGAATTTTGTGAACCTCCCTCCATGATGGAGCTCAATAGTGAACATCGTGGGATATCCTTCTGTAAAAATCATGAACCAAACCAAAAAAACATTACTTTATATGGATTGTAAAAGATTTTTTGGATTGTAAAAGATTTTTTTGTTTCAAAGAAATATGTAAGAAACAGAGTACGTTACCGTAAATTCGGATTGCATCAAAACACTGATTTCTTGGCCTGATTTCCCATATTTGGAGCATACTCGTGGATTCAAACTTACGATTGTGGTTGATGATCAAATGCAGGATTTCAATGAACGATTAGGGTTTTCGATCAACAAAGTGGGTTTAGTGGGTAGAGTGAAGGGTCATTAACTGTGTATATCATTTAATATGGCGGTAATCGATGATATAGAGGTGGAAAGACGAAAATACCCCCGTCTATATTGCAGGTAACGGAGCATATGGACGGAAGTTAGTGGGAGGGACCAAAAACAATGGAAAAATCCAATTTTGGACCAGTGGTGCATCAGAGTATCGTTTTGGACCAAAGTCGCATAATTTTGCCAAACACAGGGACCATTTTTGCAATTATATATATATATATATATATATATATATATATATATATATATATATATCAAGGTTGTAAAAATCGCTCAGCGGTAGTTTGACGGTCGACTGGGGTCAAGCGATTAATCGTTTTGACGGGGATTAATCGGAGGATTAATCGGAAACCATAAATTTCTAATAAAACTATTTTAAAACTTAATAGTATATCCTAAGAAAAAATAGTCTTTGAAAATTTAAAATTTTTAAACTTTGAAAATTTGAAATATTTGGTATAATATTTGAAAATTTTAATATTTAAAAATTTAAAATTTTGAAGTTTTGTAAGTTTTGGTGTAATATTTGAAATTTTGAAATTTTGAAATTTTAAAATTTTTAAAATCTTCCCGCCGAGGGCCGCCGAGGACCGCCTAGCCCGAGTTTGACCGATATTGACCAATTTCCGCCAAGCACCCCTAATCGTAATCAGTTGCAGACCGCCTAGCGCCTAGGCGGCCAGCTAGGTCGATATTTACAACACTGATATATATATATATATATATATATATATATATATATATATATATATATATATATATATGGTAGATTATAATGTGGATCATATATATCGTGTGGTCGTAAAGATAATTCTGGACCAATGAATGAATAGAATGAATGATCATGATTTCAGGGTCCATGATATTACAATGGGATAACATGTACCATATAATCATTCAAATTTCAACATAAAGGTATTTTGGTCAATTAAACTACATTTAAAAAAGGAAAATTTTAAATTTCAAGGGTTAATTACTTCTCTTACTTTAAAGAGTCTGAATTTTTTAAACTAATTTAATTTTACTTCCAAGGTAATTTTTTATATCAACCGGTTTTGTTTTGTCAGAATAACAAAATGTCAGTCATAAACTAGTAACGATAATTTTGATTCACTAATTACATTAGTTCTTAAAGAATAAGACTATAAAGAATAATTACATTTATTCTAGAAAAAAATATGACTAATAATGGTTAAAAATTACATTATTCTGAATGATTAAAACTAAGAATGGTTAAAAAAGAACAAAGAACATCAAAATCTAACAAAAACATTAATTGATTCTGAAAAAATATTATTGTTATGATTCTTGAATTCTTTTGCAAAAAAATATCGTCATTCTTGAAAGAATCTTCATTCTCCTTCTTGGTTCGTTCGTAGATACACTTACATTCTATGAGAATGACATTCTCTAATAATTTTCTAGATAATCGACTTGATTATAACCATTCTTACGAGAATAACATTAGGTGGGAATGACATTCTGCAAGAATACTAGTCTATTAGAATGATAGGAAGCTTTCTTGGACCTTCAAAAACATAAAGCAATCCGAATTAGCGTTTTAATAAGATAAAATACAATAAAAGTGAAATTTGCTTCTGTATCATACAAAGAGACAAGAATTAAAATCTTTTATATATTAACTTTTAACGTATGATCAGTGTTGCAGAAATCGGCCTTGGTGGCCGATTAATCGCTTGGCGGCCTTGGGCCGATTACGATTAAGGCTAGGCGGCCAATCTAATCGGTCTTTGGTCAATATCGGTCAACACCGGTTCTTAGCGGGTTAATCGGCCTAATCGGCTTAATTGGTCAACTAAAGTCAACTATTAAAAAAAGAAAAAAAGTCATTTTCCGCTCAAAATTGGACAAAGGCTCCAAATTTCGTTCAGTCAACCCTAAAAGTTATTTTTGTCGATTCCTTTCCTCTCTTTTTTTTCTCTCTACAGACGGTGATCTCCTTGTGCTTTCGCATCACAGTTCTGGTTGGCGACACAGTTCGACAATCGACACCATCGACGCCGCACCATCAAACGACGGCGACACCATCAGACGCCGACACAGGGGCAGGCGACACAACTCACAGAGCCAGGCAACGCAACTCAGACACAGGTATGTATGCTTGAATCTTTGCTCTGTGATGTTTACACATCTGTTATGGATGTTATGTGAGTAACCGGTTATTGTGAATGTGATTATCGTGATCTCTACACATCTGTTATGCATTTTTTTTTCTTTCTTTTTCGGCGTGGTGGACCATTTTACCCCTGGAAGTTCATTATCGTGATCTCTATACATCTGTACAATTTCGATTTTACGTTGTTTTCTATAATTCCTCTGCGTTTTTTTTTGCTGAGATTCCTCTGCATTTTTTTTTCTTTCTAGTTGTTTTTGGTGTGGTGGACCATTTTACCCCTGGAAGTTCTGTGTTTGCCTTCTGTGTTTTTTTGCTTTCTGTATTTTTTTTTTGTGTTTGTTGGAGTTGTGAGTTGGTTTTTGCTATTGGTTCTTTCTCTGATTGCTTCATGTCCAAAACACAGATTATGTAATTTTTTTACAATAATCATTTCATTCTGTTTCATAATGTTACTGTTAGTGGGTTTGTTTTTGGTGTTTGCTTGATGCTGCTTGGTGGGTTAGTTTCTTTTGTTGTTCCTTCTGTGATTGTTGTTATTTATCAGTACAATTATGTAACTTTTTATAGTAATCATTTCATGTTTGGCTGTTTCTATTTCCTAATGTTACCGTTAGTTTCTTTTGTTGGGTTTTTATGTTTCCTGTGTTTTTATCTGTTCACTGAAATATGATGTTATTATTGTTTATATGACGGTTGTGGGACGAACTAATGACATCTAATACTGCCACCGCTGCTTATAAACGAATTTCGGATGACATTGGTTGGGAATATGGTTTTTGCCTAGATAAAAACAAGTTGGATAGAGTTAAATGTAACTTGTGTGGAAAAGTAATTCGCGGGGGGATTTCTCGATTTAAACAACATATTGCTTATGTCCCGGGAAATGTTACTGCATGTCCAAACTCTACAAAATATGACCAATTGAAATTTCAAAATTATCTTAACTAAGGGAAGTTAAAAAAGATAGCTAAACACACACATGATAAGGCCTTAAGATCGGAGGCGATGCAAGAATTACATGACAGTGTTGATGTGGATGAAACAGAAGATTTTTTGGGGTCTAAAGCACCAAATGTTATTGGCCCAATGGATACCTATGCAAACAAAATAAACCCCGAAGAAGCTTTGAAGAAGGGAAAGGGCAAAAAAGTTGATCTTAACGATATTGTTCGGAAAGATAGAATATTAGCATGTCATAAATTCATTAGTAGGTGGGCATATAAAACTTCGATTCCGTTTCATGCATTGGAAGATGATAGCTTCAAAATGATGTTGGAGGTTATTGGCCAATTTGGAACCGGGCTTCCACCTCCTACTAGATATTCTTTGAGTGACCCACTTCTAAAGCTTGAGGTTGAAAGAACAAAAAGTTTGTTGAAAAAAAACGAAAAAGAATGGAAAGAGATTGGATGCTCGATCATGACGGATGCTTGGTCCGATAGAAAAAGAAGGGGCATTATGAATTTATGTGTAAATTCAAAAATGTGTACTGTGTTTTTATCATCAAAAGAATGTTCCAGTGAAGCACATACAAGCCAACATATATATGATTATGTGGAATCTTGCATTAAACAAGTTGGTCCCGAGCATGTTGTTCAAGTTGTGACCGATAATGCCACGAATAACATGGGAGCGGCGAAGTTACTAAAAGAGAAAAGACCAACAATTTGTTGGACATCATGTGCGACACACACCATTAACCTTATGCTCGAAGGTATTTATATTTTTTTATTACATTATTTAGTTTTAACATGTTTTTAATTTATTATTCATCATGTTTTATTTTATACTGTAATTCATTAATTTATTATTCATCATGTTTATTTCTTTAAGGTATTGGTGGACTTCCAAGGTTTAAGAAAATCTTAGATCAAGCAAAGAAACTAACCATATTCATTTATGCCCACCACAAAACCTTAGCTATGATGAGACACTACACCAAGAAAAGAGAAATTATCCGACCGGGAGTCACGAGATTCGCTTCCGCCTTTCTAACATTACAAAGCTTATCCGAAAAAAAGAGCAACTAAAACATATGTTCACTAGCACCGAGTGGGAGGAATGCAAATTTTCTGGTACTCCTAAAGGGAGAACCTCATATGGAACGGTGACAAGTCTCCAATTTTGGGCCGGTGTGACACTATGTTTAAAAGTGTTTTCCCCTTTGGTGAAAGTTCTTCGAATGGTTGATGCGGATTGGAAGCCGTCAATGGGTTTTGTTTACGGGGAGATTAAAGGAGCAAAAGAAGAAATTATGAAAGCTTTGGGTGGTCAAGAGAAAACTTACAAGCCTATTATAGATATCATAAACACCAAGATGAAAGGGATGCTAGATTCAAAATTACATCTAACGGCTTATCTTTTGAATCCTTATTATCATTTTGGAGATTTAGAGATGCAAAGACAAGTTGTGACTATTGACTTGCCAAAGTACAAGGAAAAAGTTGATAGATTTGGAGTGGAGCTTGCATATAAATCTTGTATGGTGAACGATGCCGACTTTGATCCGAGTAATTTGTTTTTTACTTTTATTTATTTATTTTATAAAACAATAAAATTTTATATCTTTTAATTTAATAATGCGTTTTTGTTTAAAAATTATAGCAAGATGGTGGGGACTTTTTGGTGGCTCAACTCCTCATTTGACAAAGATTGCAATGAGGATTCTTTCTTTAACAAGTAGTTCGTCGGGTTGTGAAAGGAATTGGAGCACGTTTGAAGTGGTTAGTTATAAAGTTATAAACTTTAAATATCAAGAATGTTTTTAACCCTTTTATGCGTGTACTTTTATAGGTACATACAAAGAAACGAAATAGATTGGAGACAAGTAGATTGAACAATCTTGTTTATGTTCAATTCAATGCTAATTTAATGGAAAAAAAACAAAAAGAGAAAAGATAGAACTTTGGAAGTGCTTTTAGCAAATGATTCTCACTCGGCTCAAGAATGGATTGTTGATTCTAATGATCGAGATATAGATGAAGTTGACCCCGAATCAATTATGGAATCGATTGATGAAGCTCCCGGGACTAACGATAATCAAGCACCCCGTCAAAATTCAACAACCAGAGAACTTTTTGATGAAGATTTTGAGTCCGAGAATGAGGAGCAAGTGTTTGAATAAGGTGAATATGAATCGGATGGAGTTCAAATATTGGAAGAAGTCGGAGGAGATTAGAAGTAAATGAACATTTAAATCTATGAAAATGTGTTTTTTTGGGATTATTAAACTTATTATGGACTTGTACTTTGATGGTTTTTTACTTAAATGTTTTAATAGTAGATTTATATATATATATATATATATATATATATATATATATATATATATATATATATATATATATATATTATAATAATTAAGGGTCTCCGATTAATCCCCGATTAATCGCCGCCAACACCGATTAATCGCTTGGCACCAATCGAGTGACCGCCAATCGTTTTTTACAACCTTGTGTATGATGATAACAAAGTCTAAAAATTAATCATAGGATTAAAAGCTTTTATATATTAATTTCATGTGTAGTACTTTAATCTTAAAATTTTCTAAATTATCATAACTGTTTTAATAATGATATTAATTATGTAACTTGACTTATATATTGGTAATTATATCATAGTAGCTTTAAAAACTTAGAAGGCCAAGTCGCATATTGCAGAATCTATATGATTGTTTGTTTCAAATATTTAAGAGCCTATAACATTACATATACCAAATTGTGTTTATATAAGTATTTCATGAACTCATAACATTGACATGTGTAACTCCTGGTTCCTGATATGTATTTAAATTATAATTTTTCATTTTTATAAAGCAACTCGACGAGTAGGTAGAGATCAGATGAGACGCGAGGTTTTAAGTAACCTACTCGACGAGTTGAGAGCCCTCAACTCGATGAGTAGGCTGACAGAGGTGAAACCCTAATTTCGGGGTTTTGCACCCTATTTAAGCATCTTTATCCCCTCATGCTAGCCTCGTTTCAAGCCTCCAACTCCCAAACCCTAGATCTCAAAACCCTAATGCATTGTGTGCGCATGTGAGTCATTTTTAAGAGAAATCTTGTGTGTGAAGCTTGTGGAAGAAGGAGAAGCTTCAGGACTCAAGAAGAAGGTTATAGATCCAGCAACTACACTTCATTCTCAGCATTTTCTGGTAAGCAAGTCTCAAACTTGCTTAATGATTACTTAGATCTCTTTCCTATCACTTTTATTGGGTTTTTGGTCCAACTAACATGATCCTTGGGAAATGGACGTCCCAAGTGAGTATACTTTCAAATCTAGAACCTTAAAGGGATTTCATGGCATAAAGGTGCAAACTTTATGGTCATTGAAGCCCCATGCAAGCTTTAGGATATCATTTTGGCCTTTTAAGATCCAAAAGGCCATGCATGGAGAGAAAGTTGGAGGCTTTACGTGTTCATGTAACGTATAGAGTCCAAATCTCAGTTGCATTGTCTTAGCTTGAAGTATTAAGGGCTTTTGGGATCAAGATCTAGGTCTTATGGAGTTGGGGTTTGAGCTAAATCACTTAAGGAAGGGTATTAACGGGTAAATTTGGAAACTTTACCCTTAAAAGGACATTTTCGGTATATATGTGAAGTATTGAGCTTAGATCTGAAGAATATGGGCTTAATCCATTAAGAAAGGCTTAACAGACTGAAGAACTCGACGAGTTCATAGAGGAACTCGACGAGTTGGGACGATTTGTCCCGATCCTGTAAAGGGCAGAATTCAACGAGTCTTAGGAAGGACTCAACGAGTTGACTCGTTTTATCACGAATCTGAGAAGCATGGAAACTCGACGAGTTAGAAGATGACTCGACGAGTTGAGTCAACTCGTGGTTGATTTTGACTGGACGTTGACTTTGACCTTGACTTTTACTTGACCAAGGTTGACCCGTGAAGGGGTTTTGGGTATGGAATGGTATCTAAGAAGTTGTTTTGTATAGGGTGTGAGTAGAGTCGGGTGAGGAGCAGAGACATTTCAGCTATTCACACGACATTGAGGTGAGTTTTCCTCCTGGTTTGAACGGGTCGAAGGCACCAAGGCCGGCCCGTATATGTTATTGGTATTGATTAGTAGCTGAGTGTGGGCGAGGCCCGTATCTCATAGATGGTTGAGTGTGGGCGAGGCTTGTATCTCCTAGCACTAATTGAGTATGTATATAGGACTGATTGATAAATTTGACTATACTTGTTGTCTGTGTGATACTTGTATGTATGTTTAGTAGCTGAGTGTGGGTGAGACCTGTATCTCATAATTAGCTGAGTGTGGGCGGGGCCCGTATCTCATAGTTAGCCGAGTGTGGGCGGGACCCGTATCTCGTAGTTAGCCGAGTGTGGGTGGGCCCCGTATCTCATAGTTAGCGGAGTGTGGGCGGGGCCCGTATCTCCTAGTTAGTCGAGTGTGGGTGGGGCTCATATCTCCTTGAGTGTGGGCGGGGCCTGTATCTCCTAGTAGCATGATTATGTGTATGGTATGTGGTAGTTTGGGGAGACTCACTAAGCTTCGTGCTTATAGTTTTCAGTTTTGGTTTCAGGTACTTTCGGTAGCAAGGGGAAGGGCTCGGGATGACTGCAGTGCACACACCATTTTGTTTAGCCTGAGATGTTTTACTTTGATATATTGACATGTGTTTTGATATGATACGATGACTTATGTTTTTGGATGAAATGATTTTAGTAACTATGGTTTATTTAATAATTAAAAATGAAATTTTTGGTCTTGATTTTTGGGATTTTACAACATGGTACACACACAGTAATGAAATGCATGCAAATAACTGAGTTAGAATATCGATCATGGCTATTATCTTTTACTGTTTGTTACAAGAGTTGGAATAAAAATTACCCGTGTTTCTTCAATGGGAGAGTTGACCCAAATCTTGTTTGATATCGAAAGAACCAAGTCTTGGAATGTTGATCGATCGATGGTTTTTGATTTTGCGTTGAGGGAAGTCATTGAACGATGGGTACATATCGAGGTTTTATTTTGTAATCGTAATGATTTGATGAACATAATGGCAGCATAGGGTTTTGGAGATGATAGAAAACGTGTGAAGATATAAATGGTGATTCAATTATTTGTCCAAGATTATAGGCATTTAATTGGGAATGTCATTTAATTTATATATAATATTACTAATATACCCTTATTATATTAACTAATAATTAAATGTTTTATTAAAATTTTATTGGTTCATACAACCAAACAATATATATATATATATATATATATATATATATATATATATATATATATCTTTATACCTTAATAAGCATTTAGCCCAAAATGCTGAATTTTAAGAGGTACAATACTTTATGCGATTTATACAATAAATTTATGCACTAACTGTATTATAGAAAATTAAGGAAGTAAATCGGTCAAAATTAGACTTAGTATTCCCTATTTTAAGCAAATAGAATCATTCTACAGTTGAAGTCTATATAGCATATCATATCTCTTCTCCACCACTAACACACTCTAAACTATCCCCTATGAACGAATTCTGGAACTCCGTTCACCCTCCTCCATGACCACCTTCACCACTGTCTCACTTCATCTCACGATGGTCCACCATCCCATCTCTTTAAAATCCAGTCAAACCAACAACACCTTCACTTTAATCTCTCCTCTCCTGTCCCACTTGCCCACTTCCTCGATCGTAAGCATCGTCGCCTGCCGGCTTCACCATCTTCTCTATTGTCCACCCACTTCACTAGATCTGTCAACACAAATAACCTTGAAACCTTATATTCTCCACCTTTCTTGGTCTCTCTATCATCCACCACTACCACCTAAAAGTTATGAAGGCAGATCCGTCGAGTCCAGGTACGATCACACCATCAAAGCCATCGCATCCCTCAATGTTTCTAATTTGTTTCTTATGTTATTTCTTTTTTGCTTCAGTGAAAAAAAGAACGGAGCCTCTTCATAACGAAAACATTAAAAAAGTTTCAGCCCCAAATTTGTTTACTCTTTAAAATTGATGATTGATTTGGTGCTTTCAGGGTAATTTCTGAATTGATCCCTTCTTCCACTATCTCCATTCCAATGTCTACTTCTCTCATTCTTAAATGGCAACCACTAACGCGTACTGTCGTCTCCACCGCCGCTAAACCGTTATTGTCTCCACCACCGACATGGTCGTCACAACCAAAAAGATATGGTGGTACTGTCTTTCATCTGCCATAGGAAACTCTTACCATGTATTGTTTTTGCTAATGTTTGTCAAGCTTCATTAATCTATTGGCTAATACATCTGATTTTTTATTTGTGTTGATACATTCTGTGTTTTTGCCTATGATGTTCTACAGCTCACCACCGATGTTCATAACCCCATGGAATAAATAAGTATATCATGTTACTGAATAACTTTTTGAAATTTGTTTCTCTGTATATATGTTATACACACACTGAAAACATAGCTTGTAATGAAATTACTCATTGAGAAGTTACTCAATGTTTGTTTTAACATCAAATGGGATTTCTTACATGAAAATGAAGGTATATTTATTAAATTATGACTATATTATTTGTAAATTTGTTTTTTAATTTGATCATGAATGGATGGAGAACATATTAGAACCAACCTCATACAAAAGACAATGTAACTATATCTGTGGTATTTTCTCACTAACAAGCCCTAATTCTGTACACGTTTGATTTTTAGTTCCGCTCTCATTGTTGCTGATGTGGATGATCAATGATTATCATTTACAAAGGACCTTGGTTCATATGCCACAATTGAAGTCTCAAAAAACGTCAGGTAAGCTCCTTCTTTCTTGAACTTCTCTCTGTCTAATCCAAGGTAAAGTTATTCTCAATGTTCCAGTCCGGTACTCATAAAATCAGTCCGGTACTCATAAAATCTTATATATTACAACCTTTCAAGTCTTTACCATCTTGAAGATATGAATGTTTTGTTTGGTTTGTTACATGTTTTGTTTAATTTTTATCATTTTTTTGTAACATTGTTTGATTTTTTCTTGTGTTTGTTCTATTATTTAGTTTTTTCTGTTCACTTTATAAGTGTTGGTTTTGGTTTATTTCAGATCTGGTGAAAATATAATGTACAACTCTTAAAGCATCAACAAGTATATGGTGAGAAAGATTGTGGTTTCTCTTTTGCGAGTTTATATATATATATATATATATATATATATATATATATATATATATATATATATATATATATATATATAGAGAGAGAGAGAGAGAGAGAGAGAGAATAACATAGACATTATTATCTTTA